TCACTCTAATTTTCTGATATGTTTGATTTTCATATTACTGTTATGGTTGTTATTTGGTCTTAGCTTCATATATATTCTTTTTGACTCATTCTTTTCACTAACAACAAGAAAAGTGAAATATTGACACTGATTTTCTCTCATCATCTTCATCCTCTTTCTTGCATTTTCTCAAGAACTACACATAACAATTTTTGTTGATCATTATGCATCATTGAGGTGATAACATCCAAACATAGGATATTGTATTGGGGTTGGGTTGAGTGATCGGTGGGTTTTTCTTGAATAAAACCATTAGGGTTTTGTCCTCCAAGAAACTTGAGATTTGGGGGGGGGGGGGGGGGGGGGGGGGGGTTGCACAAATCATTTCTTCACAAATTCAGCCGAGTGAAGGTGATTGAAGAACGGGTGGTTCGTTCAATCTAGTAGCGGTAACTGGAGGATTGTGGAAGAAATATTTGGGTTCGAATTATATGTGATTGAAATCAGTCGGGCTAAAGATTTGAAGACCGTTGGGTTGTTCAGACGAGTAGCTGGAATCGGAGGTTTATTCAACACATTCGAGGCACTTGATTCGACTTGAATCAAGGGGAGAGAAGACATAGTTTCAGCATTAACAACTAGGCTTGAGTGTGTGATTACTATTTCTTCTCTTGTACAAACTTTCGCAACAGGTTAATATAGATCTCAATCCTATTTCTAGAATTGAGGGCAGACGTACCCCAAGCGAGGACGAAGGGGGAACTGCCTCAACAAATTTGGCGTTGTTCTCTCTTTTTCTATTTTTCTATTTCTGAATTCTTAACATTTATGCACAATCAAATTGCTTGATAAAAATTATGGTATAGTGTAGTGCTTAAAAGTATTTTAAAAACTCATTACAATCATTTTGATTGTAATTGGAAAAGTTATGCACTACCATTACTTAGAGAATTTCACTTGGGGGTGTTTTGCACATCAAGTGTTCGACAAATTGATCGCATACAAACTATTTGTGCTTTTGTCAATTTGAGTTTAATTTTTACAATTCTTTGGAAATTGCACAACCTTAAAGTGAATCTAATTATATTGATTGGTGTTCAAATATTGATTCATTTTCTCATTGGATACGACATTTCATCTTGCCTTATCGCATACCCGATCTTTTCAGTAACGATTCGTTTAGACGACCTTAGTTTCTCGGTCGCTTCCGCATAAATTTTAAACACCAAATTTCTTTTAAGCGCCAACTCTGTTTAGGAATTAGTGATCTATTCAACCCCCTTCTAGATCATTGTCATTGTCTAACATTTTCATCCGACCTTCTATAAATGTAACATGCATATCATTTCATTTCATCCCATCTTAGGTTTAATTTAATTTTAGTAATGGGTATTTTGTCAGTTATGATTTATGTGTTTCGCAAATTATTGTCGTGTTGTGATTGCTTTTGGCATGATAATCCATGTTGGGGAGTTTTTTTTTTGCCATTTCATCTTATTCATATATTAGTATTTCTCTTATATTCTATCTACATCTTTATTGTGATATTGAATATCTTATCTAAATTTGTGTTTATATTGTGCTAGATTGCATTCATTGTTTGTGTTGTGCTCAATCGCATAATTGATATGAATTATGTGTTTTGGATGTGTTGTTAGTAAGTAGTGTGATTTTAATGCTAATTATTTGGAAATAAGTGTGAGTTGTGTGTGTGGAGAAACAAGTGTGATTTATAAGTCCACATTGCTTAGAAAAGTAGAGGTTAAGCACTTTATAAGTAAGAGGACTCATACACCTATCATCTTAAGATTTTGGATGAATATGTGGTGTCTCTCTCACTTGTTTGGGTGAGTCTTTGACCTTTAGGTGAGTGTTTGACCCAATGTGTATGATTCCCCCTCTTGATGACCCATCAGTGGTATGAGAGCCCGGTTCGAGTAGGGACTGTCTCCTTGTGTCGAAAGTCTTCCTAACATTGTGGTTAGGAGGCGTGGTTTCGTTGAAGTGCTCAAGACGAGATAAGGATGTCTCTCAACGGCGGGTACAAGCATGTGGATGAAAGATATTCCACTTAAGGGGAAAACATAGTAGAGGGAATCACACTTAAGGGGGAGATTGTTGGACTTAAGGGGAAACATGGTAGATGGAATCACACTAAGGGGGAGATTATTGGAAAATAAGTGAGTTGTATGGAGAAAAAAGTGTGAGTTTTAAGTCCCACATTGCTTAGAAAAGTAGAGGTTAAGTACTTTATAAGTAAGAGGACTCATACACCTATCACCTTAAGGTTTTGGGTGAATGTGTGATGGTCTCTCTCACTTGTTTGGGTGAGTCTTTGACCTTTAGGTGAGTGCTTGACTCAATGTGTATGCTTCCCCCTCTTGATGACCCATTCATCTACTGTTGTAGTCTTATTTTTTACCTTTTATTTTTTTTTTATAATTTGTCAAAGAGAAGAAGTTTTATGAGATATATATCAATGTTTACGCATGTTAAATGTTGAATGTAGGGGGAGCTTGAAAGCTCAAGAGCTTAAGTATCATTTGTGCGCTGATCAATAATCGGAATCAAATTATTCAAATATCTCAAATTTTCAAAACATCAAAAAGGAGATTTGCAGTTCATTTGTTCATTTTGATGATTTGTCGCATTTTGATATTTTTCAATTAGGTTTATTTGTATTTTGATTTTAATGATTTATTGTAATTTGATTTTATCATTCATTATAGTATTGTACCTTGAGCTATCCATTACATTCAATTAGGTTGAACCTATTGCAATTTTTTTTAGTTGAGAAAATTGGTCAGAATCAAAATATGTGTCTTGAATCACATATTAGAAGCCTTTAAATAAGGTGTTTTTTTAAGCTTGATTAGAATCACAGCTTTGGCTAATTCGAATCAAGAATTAAGTTAAAATTTGGAATTTGGTACTGTAATAATGATTAAAACCAAGAATATGTTTGGTTCAAATCAAAGTCACCTTTGATGTGAATCACAACAAAGGGTGATTTGTTTGTAATGAAATAGACTCTTTTGAAAACACTTTTATTTGTGTGATTTGAGTCATGTAATTTCTTGATTCGAATCACATGATTAAAATCATGGTCTTAATCAAATAGAGTCATTACCTAAGTTTTATCACCTTAATTAAAGTCATTTTTTCATCTATTTCAAATCATAGTTATATGATCCGACTCGAATCAATTGCTAAATTTCTCCTATTTTGTGCCTTACCTCTAACCCGTATATAAACATTAAACTCTCTCTCTCTCTCTCTCTCCTCTCTCTCTCTCTCTCTCTCTCTCTCTCTCTCTCTCTCTCTCCTCTCTCTCTCTCTCTCCTCATCTCCTCTCTCTCTCTCTCTCTCTCACTCCTCTCTCTCTCTCTCTCTCTCATCTCTCTCTCTCTCTCTCTCTCTCTCTCTTCTCTCTCTCTCTTCTCTCTCCTCTCTCATCTCTCTCTCTCTCTCTCTCTCTCTCTCTCCTCTCTACTCTCTCTCTTCTCTCTCTCTCTCTCTCTCTCTCTTATTTTGTATGAGATTCTTTGTGTTTTGAATGCGTTAGTTAAGAGGTTGTGTGAGATTTCTTTATATATCACTAATCATATTCAACCTTGAATCAAGAAATTTTATTTGTAGTGGTTCTCAACTCTAAAGATTGAGTATGAGTGATAGATGTAAGGTGCATTAAGTAATCAATATTTTTTGTGACGTTTTTTTGTGTATATCAGGTTGAAGAATCAATTTCATTATTATGGTGTATAAATACTTATTTCTAGCAAGGAAATATTGTTTTCTTCTCCATTGAAACTTAGGTAGACCAAATGAAAGTTGTTGTAGAATAAAGTTTGAGTTTTAAAGATTCTTCGGTAAAACAAAGTCTCGAATAAAGGACTTTTTGTATGTTTAAGTGAATATTGTTGTGGAACAAAATTGTAACTATGGAGTGCAATTTAATATGATTTTTTTCTTGTAATTTTGCAGATGTTTGATTTTTTTTATTTTTTTTGAAAAAGAATTATGATATATGAACGTAATAAATGACAAAGATGTACATACTTTACTCTTATCAATTATATATTTTCTGTGTTTACAAAGCATGTAAACTGCCTTATACTAATTGAGTGACGATTTATAATCAACCTCTTCAACTTATTTACAATACATTTAGGATACTCTTATTAATTCCACTCATGATAGTTAGTATTACTTACACTTCATTGAATCCTACTCATGAATTTGGAATAAAAGCTAAGTCTCTTCAAACTAATGGTGGTAATAAGCAATGTGTTACTTAAACTCATGAGCAAAATGGCACAACTGGAAGAAAAAAAAACATAGACACATCATTTGAAGTTGGTCTCACCCTTCTAGTTAATGCATTTATGCCTCTAAACCAGAAAGAAAAAAAACATATAGCCATCATTGAAGTTGGACACATTATTGTGTTTACTTAGAAAACAATTTGGTTTCTTGGTCATAAAAAAACAGTTTGTTTTCTGGAAATCCAGCCACTGAAGCTAAATACAGCAGCAGTCTAACTTCAGAACTTCTTTGGCCTAGGCTCGCTATGGACCTTTACAGATGTCAATGATCCGCGTAGCCTTCGCCATATTCAAATCCCAAAGAAGTTGCCAACAAATTTGTATATTTTCATTCAATCACTATGTAAGTTTTACAAAAGACCAATCACAAAATGAGTCCACCCTCCCCGTCAAAACATGTTATGCAATTGCAAAACTTGAATAAAACCAAAATCGGAGGGTGGAATCGGAGAGGGTGGAAATGATTCATTCTATCAATCACCTATAAGGCAAAAGTAAAATCATTATCTTCCTGTATAAACCTTTCTAACCATATTTCGAGTACTTCAACTTGACACAATATCAACAGCTAGCATGTGATCGATCACCTCAATTCTGCTACAATTTACAACTCCATGTACCATATACGAGAAACCAGGATCACGGCCAAAAGCAATGTCTGATCCGACCAAAGAATCGATAGAAAAAATCGCTGGCTCAAGAAGATGAATAATTGGAGAGAAGCTTCAATAAACTGTCTTCTGTTTCCAGAGTGAATTTCCTAGCAAATAGGTAACACGGCTTCTGAATTCCGTTCCATAAGCAAGGCCATCTTAGTACTTCTTTCTGTTGGCAAAAAAAAAAGGAAAAGTGTTTGTTAAATCGCTTAATGTATTCTCGATAAATCAGAGGAACACGAGAGCTATCAGCATACCTTCTCATCACTGGTGACGTGCACACTTTCGTCAATGGACTGCAGATACAGCGAAGTTAACATGAATATACATTAGCCTAACTTAAAAATAATATGACAAAGTTATAGTTGCAGTTGTAGAAATGTACCATAATAGACTTCAAAAGATCGTAAGTAACATCCTGAGTAACATATGATTTCGGATGCCATTTTTGTTCGGACCAATCAACATGAGTTACTGACCAGTTTGCGATTCCTCCAGGATCGACCATCTATAACAGAAACATTAGCCAATTAGTTGACAGTTTAAAACTGTTTAAACAGACTTGTATTATGATTTACGAACGAAATTCTCACTGTGAAGAAGGTCGGTAAGTAATGCTCATCTGCAATGCAATTCTTCCCATCTACACCAGGCTGTAAAATCAGGAATATTCTGATTAATAATCGAGCAATGGAATAGATTTTCCGGACTTATAACAACGTAAACATTTTAACGGCGAAAGTATATAAAAACTTTACCTCGCAGTGAGCCTGAAATATCGAGTAATACAGGTGGTCAGCTATAACCATAATAGCATGTTGCCGTTTCATTGAGAACCACTGCAAAATTCACGATGTTAGTACAAATAAATCAATTCAAACAGACCCTTCATACGAAAATGTACCTGAGCACCCTTTCTAAAGTCCTTAATCTCGACTTCGGGTAACATGCGTTCTGAATATCTGCCATTGCCAACAGGACCAGGATCCCGAAAGCTAAAATGGAAAAGTAACTAGCATATTAATCAAGGATAACGTAAAAGAAAAGATCAACCAACTCTATCAGGACGAAACATGACATACCAGTCTACAAAGCTGATATTTGTATACATCAGATAATCGAAAATGTAATTAAAATTATACAGGGGCACGCAGCTGCAACAAAACCAATGCAAGAAGATTAGAAACTAAAATAAACAAGTAAACAAATAAACTAACCGTGCGAAAAATACCGAGCAAATTACCTATCAGAAAGTAAAACAAAGTGCTGGTTATGAGGATCTTGTAGCGCATTTGCCAGCAGTCGTCTCTCTGCATCAACCATGGACATTTTTCCCCATACCACCTGGCCACTGCGTATATCCCGATTAACAAAGTAACGGCTCACGTGAACCGGTTTAGTCTGAGACGCGTGCACATAAATGGAGAACTTCCCTTCATGACCCTGCAAGAAAAAGAGAAGCATTAACAACTCCGAAGCTAAGAAAACCAAACCGATGAAATCACATACACAAAACCTTACTTGGAAGAAGTTATCCCACAGTTTTTCAAACGGTAGAGAACCCGGTGTCAAAAACATGAACGCGATTTTAGGATTCGTCGGCATAACTACTGGTGTGTTCAAAATATCTCTAAAAACAACTTGTGCTGCAACCTCATCATTAGTGTATTCCCTTACAGGAACAGGAGGAATCCAATCAGCAATGTCTTTACACTGTCTAGTAGAGAACATGTTACAAACTGTACGGTTACGCGGCCGGTAAAGATAAGCACAAGTTACAACAAACATGATAACAAATAAAAGCAGAACAACAATCCACATCGGCTTCTTCGTCGGTGGACGGTATCGTGATCCCGAAAAGATCTGCATATCGCCCATGCTTCGACGCCAAAATTTTGCTGTGTTCATCTTCAACAAATTTTCTTTTCAATCATCTTCAGAATAAATCAAACTAACACCATAAGAACTTGAAATCTTCAATGGATTCAAAAGCATACAAATCTGAAAATCAAAACACAAGATGAACACATTATCAAAAAGTACTAGTTAATTCCACTAGGTATATTAAATACATGAACTAATCATAGCCCCAATTTTCAATCATAAATCAAATATCTAACCAAACATAACATAATTTATCAAGGTGTTAAAAAAGGGTCCGTGACCGAAAAATCGGCCGCGACAAAACGGTATCGAAAGTTGCCGATACCGATATTGTTACTCACCACCATTTTTATGATAAAGAACAAATTATGGTTAATTCACATAACGAAGACTGTAATCAGTGTCGCGACACGGGCACCAGCCAAAATCGTGAAAGCCTTTATGCGACAGCATAATGAAACCATGACTGATATTTAAAACAAAACCTTGGAGTTAAAAATACAAACTATCCAATTAACCACTAATTCAATAAAAATTAAGAATCCTAGCAGAAAATGCATGAAGGAGTGAAGAGGAAGTGATAATCAAAGTACTTAAATTCAAACAAGAACTAAGAATTGGTAACTAAGAACAAGAATAAACAACAAATCACATGAAAACGATACAATACTACAATAACATTAAGAAATCAATAGCTACTTACAAAGAAAAAAATGGAAGCATGAAAATGTTCAAAGCATTCATCGACATTGTATCGTAACATATGAATAAACAGAATCAAAAACCAACATACATTTGTTTGGTGTTTTTGTTGGGGGAGAGAGAGGGTTTGAATTTGTGATTTGATTTCTTGAAGAAAACGAAAACGAAACGTTTGGTTTTTTAGTTTGGTTTGGTTTTTTGTTTCTCTCTCTAAAAAGAAGAAGAAAACAGAAAAAGGGAAGTCGAGTGGCAGTATGCAATGGCTGGGTTGGCAGACCAAAACGAAGGAACAATCACTTTTTGATTTTGTTTGTACCAAAAAATCAATGTTTACGATATTTTAGTAATAAAATAATATTAATAAATATTAAAATAAATAAATAAAAGCCTTTTTTAATTTTTTTACAAAAATATACAATATTAAAAGATAATTGTTATGTATCTGTCTATATTAAAAATTTTGCACTTGTACTTTTTCGTTTCAAAATGATTATTTTTAGTAAATAAAACTTATTTTAAAAGTGACTTTCATTCTATTTTTTAATGTAGCAATTATTATCATATTTTTAATATTTTAATAAAATTAAGTTAATATTTTTTTTATCTCATAAAAGTGATTCATTTAAAATAAAAAAAATTTAAAATGAATGACACATTTCAATTCTATCTAAAGTTATTCATTGTGAGATGAAAAAAATAAAAGTTAATATCTTATTTCAACATCTTTATATTTTTAATATGTGTGTAAAAATCTTAAACGATAATTATATTAAAATGGAGGAAGGATTATTTTATAGATTGTTGAAATAGTTGTCAAATATTTTCAAGTTTATGGTCAGTGATTTGTAAAATATTATAAAATTCACATTATATATATATATATATATATATATATATATATATATATATATATATATATATATATATATATATATATATATATATATATATATATATATATATATATATATATATATAAAATTAAATAACCAAAATATGAAATTTTAGTAATACATATTTTTTAAAGAAAAAACAAATAAATAATATATATTTGTATTTTTAGTTTTGTCGATCAAAATATATTTAGTATCGAATAATTTAGTAAATAATATACTTTGAATTTTAAAAGACTGTGATAAATAATACTATTAAATTTTTTTGGAAAATTAAAAAGATGGCACTCTCTCGTCAAAAGACATTGAATTTGATTTTTGAAATTGTCGATTTTGAATATAAAATATAAAAACATAAAAAAGGTTGAAAGAAAAATATCTTCAGATATTTATTGATATAAAAAAAGTAATAATATGGAGTGGATTCAATAGATATTTAAAATTGACACTACATATTTAACCAAAAATATAAAAAATGAAACGACATATAAGTTGATTAATTTTATTGTTGAACTATCCATTCCTATTAGTTAATTAAACAAACCAATCAAATCTTGGTCCATGAGCTTTTATTTGTTTATTCTCTTGCAAATAACTTTTCAAAACGTTACCCTCCGGAAATCGAAGAAAGTGGCTTGATACTTAAGAGTTAAGACTATTATTAAATAAATAAAAAAATTGGGTACATTATTAAATAAAATATTAATTATGTGTAAATCTTTCAAATTGTATATGTCAAATAAGGAGGATATACTTTTTTTTAATAAAGCTAAATATATATATGAAATTAAAAGAAGTTAAAAAAGGAATATACTGACAACTAAGGTAAATCAATAAACTTATTTCAAATTTTGTTCTCTAATTTTATTTAATATATTGTCCATTTGTTTTATTTTAAATAAAAAGTATTTTAAAATTGATTTTTATAAAAATAAATTTTTAAATTTAATTTTTACAAATTTAAAAACTAATTTTGACAATAACATAAATATATAATATTAAAGATTAAAATATAGTTGAAAGCATAATTATTTCAAAAAGATTTAATTCAAATTAAGTTTTTGAAATTTTAATATTTAAAAAATATTATAAAATAATTAAATATTTAAAATAATTATTTAAATAAATTTGTATTTGAGTTTTTTTTAATTCTTTGTATATTATTTAAACAAAATATTTAAAAATATGAAAAATCATTTTTAAAAAACTAAAACAAACGGATTTATTCAAATCTCTATAATGGTTTACTCAAAAGCATTGATATCTTCCTTATTTTGGTTTGGACGGATCTTCCTTATTCAAAAACATTTTAATTTTTTTAATATTTTAATATTAAAAATGTTATATTTTTCTCAATAATATATAGTATATTACCTTTCACATTTATCTCATAACTCTTTATTAGGGTTACAAATAGGTTGAGTTGAGTTAAATTTTGTCAAACTTAAATCAAAACTGCTAAAAAAATGAAAGCTTACTGCTAAAAAAATGAAAGCTTAAATCTGACCTGCCAAAAAAACGGAAGTCTAAATCTGACTTGTAACCTGATATAGACTTATTTCTATATGTATGTAAACTAGCAATTAAAATAATGTTTAAATAGACTAACAAACTAGAAAATCAATAAGATTAAAACGTTGTTTGCATTGACATATTTTAACTTACCTATTAACAGAAGTTTTGTGAGACTATTTGTTTAAGATAACTTATGAAACCAACTTATAACATTGTTCATAATATTTTTTCATCTTATTTTCATAAGTTCTCTAAGATAACCAATATTTATTTATGTATTTTAATTCAAAGTACAAAACATAACATAATAATAATAATAAAATTATTAATATTTATTTAAATAGGTCGGCTTATTAGGCTTTTTTCATGACCTGAGGTCTGGCCTTTTAACTAAATAGGCTTATAAAAAAAACTCAGACATTTTCTATTTATAAAAACCTTGGTCTGCCCTGAGTCTATGTAGGTTAGGTCGTATGCTTTTGTTATCGGTCTGACCTATTTTCACCCTTACCCACCATTTTACTTCTTTTTTTAAACAATCTCACATTCATCCTCTTCGACCATTGTTTGTTTGGTCATTAAAATAAAAATAAAATTTATAAGAATAAAAAAATAAGATGAAATTATTTATATTGAAGTATAGAATATGTATTGTTCAAAAAAGTACAAGATGTGTGCATGTTCTCCTGTAAGAGTAAGGAGTTAGATATATTAGTAGGAATATTATACAAATGTGGTGAGGACTGATTCACAGTGGCGAGTAGCCTTGTACAATTGTTTTTTAGACTGTTTAGTGAAGCAGCTCACGTGAGGTGAGAGGCCTTACTAACTGTCTGTGCTGCTGGGTTGTAGGCGGGTAGTTAAATTATCGGTGTTAGAACTGCTAGGAGTTATAACACCCTAGTTTTCAAATTATTATTTTATGTGTTTGTTCGTGATTTAATTTTATTTTAATTTAATTATTATGTGCGGTAATTGAATTAATATGGATGTTAGGGGTGTGTGAACTTGAGGTGAGAGTGTGGATAGTGATTAGAGATTGGTAGAGGTGGACTAGGATTATTAGAGTCTATTTTGATAATTAAATAATAATATTTTAATTTAATTATTCATTTAAAATGGGAAAAGAGAAGGTTTGGAGCCAAAGTGTGAATTATAAGAAATAGAGGGGATGAAGAAGAGAGGATGCTAGTAAGTGAGAGGTGAGTTTGTAATTTCAACTAGATTAACCCTAATTATATAAATTAGGAACATAACCTAAGTTTGCAAGATTTTTTTCAGTACGTAGAAAATTTGTAAAAAAGAGAAAGAGGCTATATGCAAAGAGGGAACTTGGAACTTTAGGTGATAGAAGAAAATTTAAACCAATTCGGATTCAGATTGCTTCAGAGAAATTGAGGCGAAGGGGATAATGGACTTAATAATGGGTATATGCTAAAGGGGTAGAGTTGAGGAGTCCTTAACCTCCAATAGGTTTGTATAATTGTGCGTGTTTGGTTATTTTTGTATGTGAATAAGAAATTTGATAATCAATTGGTGTTGTAATATGTTTTTCATGATGAAATTCGTGTACATGTGTGTATGAGATTTTCTGTTTTGATGTGTTAATATGTTTTCACTATTGTTGGGTTGCGAGGGTTTTGGGATCATGATAAAAGTCGGGAATAATTAATTATTATGCTTGTTAATTGATAGATGTAGGTTGTGCGATGTTGATATGTTGATTTCCTGTTATTTTCTGATCAATCAGAGTTCTGATGTGAACTCCACAACAGAAACAAAATATTGCATTCTACTGGTCGATGGTGGGCTCTATGGTCATGACGGGTAACCCGTCATGAAGCCCAGGCTCAATTTTGGAGTCGGTCGTCACATAGATGACGTGTTTGTGTTGTGATGTCCATGGTGGGCACC